TGGATGGGAAATTGCTGGCTGGGTCTCCTCTGGGGCCAGAACCAGCGCTGACAGCACAAAGCCAGTGCTGTTTTGAAGGACGTGGGAGATGGGGAGCAGGAGAACGGAGCCGATCTGCTTCCAAGGTGCCAGAGCAGGTCAGAGGGCCGAGAAGCCAAGAAATGTGAGCAGTAACATTTTGAATTTGCACTCCTGTTCCAGCAGATGAGGAGGGAGCTTTTATTAAGGTTTTGAAGGAAGTGGGAGGCAAAGGGTCCCTCGGTGCCCGCTAGCTGCACTGAGCCGAGCCCTTCGGATGTCCGGGAGGACAAAGCCTTCCCCGGTTGGCACAAGGTCGGCTGAGATTTGTGTGTCTGCCTCCTCTCCTTCCAGGCATGCCGCTGATGTACTGGTTCTCCCGCAGAATGACTCTCTGGGGAAGCATTTCCTTCAACCTGGCTGTCTTCATCAACATAATCATTGCTTTCTTCTACCCCTATGTTGAAGCCACTTCCATGGGTAAGTGCCCAGCATCCGCTGCTCCTCGAGGTGGAAGACAAAGGAGACCTTCATATGCAGGAAAACCGGTCCCCTTACCCGTGCTCCCCCCACCCTCAGTCTCCTCATGACTCCTAAAGCCCCAACCAAGTCCTTTCTGCTGCTCAAAGGAAAGGACTGAGGTCAAGATTTCAGCTGCCGGCCCCCCCACTGCTTCCTCCTTAGGGAGAAGTCTCTTCTCCCCGGCTGCGCTTTCCCTGTTTGTAAAATGGGGGGAGCGATGACCGAACACGTACCTGCTGTCAGGCAAAGCCTCCAGCGCTCACAGTGCATTTGAGATCTCGGATAGAAGGTAGAAAAATGTATCAGTAAAGAACCATCTTAGTCAATACTAGTCTTTGCAGTCAAGCGTAATTTCTCTCTTTCTTCCCCCTGATAAGCAGCACGTTAGTTTGTCTGGGCAGTCTGGACAGCAGCACAGTGTCCGACTGGCAGCACGCGTTTAACCTCGTGCCATTTAATTGCCGTGGGTCCTCTCTTCGCAGGAGTGCTGGATTCCCCGCTGATCTCGCTGCTCTTCTGGATTCTGATCTGCTTCTCCATCATGGCCTTGTTCACTAAGCGCTACGGCGTCAGACCGCTCCTCGTGGCACTGATCTTGCGATCGATTTATTACCTGGGGATTGGACTCACTCTGAACATACTGGGGGCTCTCAATGTAAGTTCTCCGTCTGCTGGAAGGGTAGCGTGGCAGCCCATGACACAGGAGGCTGGTCTCCATTCATAAAGTGCAGCAGACCCCATTCCCTCCCATTTCTGGTTGTTCCCCAGCTGACCAACAAGATTGTGTTCGTGGTGAGCTTCGTGGGTAATCGCGGGACCTTCATCCGAGGCTACAAGGCCATGATCATGGATGTGGAATTTCTTTACCATGTCGGCTACATCCTGACGAGTGTCCTGGGACTCTTTGTGCACGAACTCTTCTACAGCATCCTGGTACGATAAATGCAGATGTCTGGGGCAGGAGGTAGCCTGTCTGCCCCGTTAGAAGCTAGAAGGTTCTTGTGACACCTTCCAGGGGCTGGCTGATAACAGCAGTGAGAACAATTCACTGTGCTCTAATCTTTGCGTAGGCTGATCTTTCTGCCTCCCGACAGTATCTATTACTGTCTCTCTCCTGGTCTTTTGCTATCTCTCTCTTTCTAATCTCCGCTGTGTACTTTATCTGGGTCAGCTGGGAGACAACGTGAGCTGGAGAGGGCAGAGGCAGGGTGGATGTGTCCTATTCTTGGCTCTCCTGCTGTGCATAAGTCACTTCATTCTTCTCTGCTTCCCTACAGTAAGCTGGGAAACTTAAATGCTTTATGTGAAAGTTAGTCAAGGTCTGCCAAGTGATTCGAGATCTCAGGATAAAAGGGGATAGAGGTAGGCCAGGCGTTATCAAGAAAAGCACCTCACGGCATTTCTTTGCTCCTGGGTGCTTTCAGCTGTTTGACTTGATCTACCGTGAGGAGACCTTGTTTAACGTCATCAAAAGTGTGACGCGGAACGGGCGCTCCATCCTGCTGACAGCCCTCCTGGCTCTCATCCTCGTCTACCTCTTCTCCATCGTGGGCTTCCTGTTCCTGAAGGATGACTTCATCCTGGAGGTGGACCGGCTGCCGGAGAGCAAAGCCAAAGGTCGTTCAGCCCTTGCCCTCGTTGTCTGCAGTGCTGGGGCTAGAGAGGGGCCGGGCAGAGCGTGGGACTCTTCTGCAGCTGGACCGTTGCGTGAGACCCTGCTCCCTCCCCGCTGCAAAAGCACGCTCGTGTCTGTGTGTGTGTGCACGTGTCACGGGGTTTATACCCTTGGCGCAAACTCCTGGTAGCGCTGGCTTTGGGGTTGGCAGGGAAGAGAGCTGCCTGTGCCGACTTAGGGACCTCGTGCTGCAGAGCAGCAGGGTTTGGGGGCTAGGAGTGATTGCAGAGAAGGGGGTGGACAGCTACAAATGAAGTTTTAGCACTGCAGAGCTCTTACTGAAACTTGAGAAAAAGATTCAAAGCCCAGAAAAGGCTAGGAGAATGCAAAGCAACCTTTTTTCCAAAGAAGCCTGAAAGCTACAAGAGGAGGCAGTTGAAAGCACCCGCGGCAGCAGCGAAGAGCTTTACTAAGGCAAGCTGACGCTCTGACAAGGCTGCGGTCTCTTCTGCTTGCAGATGACCCCTTGGGGATGCAAAGGAACATGGAGACCTTCATGGAGTCATGCAGCAGTGACAAAATTAGCTGCTCTGCAGTGCCCACTGCCTTGGAAGGTAAGTGAGCTCGTTAGGAGGGTTGACTCTCTTAGTGGCAGAATAGGTTGGCTGCCTGGTTTGTCAGCGAGCTCAGAAAAACCCAAGCTTTTCAAAGATGGAAACAAACAGCCCGCTCTCTGGTGCGTGTTAGGCATGAAGCCTGCAAATTTTGCATTGACCCTGGCATGAAAAATGTTGAAGTAGATTCAATTTAGTCATAAAGAAAGTGGGAGCGTCAGGAGCGCTCAGCCAAACACCTCCACAGCAAGAGGCAAGCTGGAGGAGCTGCTGGGAAGTTGCTGGTTGGGAGATCCACAACAAGCACCTGCTCCCAGGAGATTTGCCGCTGCATCACCGCAGCAAGAGTCATCCCCGCAGCTCTGGATTCTTTGGAATGGTCTGGTGCGTAAGCCCTGTCTATGCTCTGGGTTTTTGCTTTTATTTCCCCCGCCGTACTCTAGAAACAGACGCTGACCAGTGGGAACGCGCCTGCGACACGCTGCTCATGTGCATCGTCACTGTCCTGAACCACGGCCTGAGGAACGGAGGGGGCGTGGGCGACATTCTGCGGAAGCCGTCGAAGGATGTGAGTTTGGGCAGCACTATTGCAACCCTTTCTTCTGCTCGGTCCTGCCATGCTGGCTGCGGTGCAGCTCCCCTCCCTCCCGGGAACCTGTGACACTTCCAGCTCTACCCCCACCAGTGTCCTCCAGTGCTTTCCCCCTCTCTTCCCCATCACCACCTTTACTCCTCAGCCCACGGCCCGTGTAACGAAGCAGCACGGCTGGAGCGCCTGGTGGTGTGCGAGAGACACGTTTCTCCCTTTCATCCCTCACAGGAGTCCTTGTTTCCTGCTCGGGTTGTCTACGACCTCCTCTTCTTCTTTATTGTCATTATTATCGTCCTTAACCTCATCTTCGGGGTCATTATTGACACCTTTGCTGATCTGAGGAGCGAGAAGCAAAAGAAGGAGGAGATACTGAAGACGACCTGCTTCATATGTGGTGAGCGCTGGGACCTCGGTGTACAGGAATTGCCCCGAAGCTTTTCCTCTCTTCTGAGGTTGAGGGAAGGAAAGGAGTTTCAGCTGGTTTCTGGTTTTCACAGCAAAACTTAAATCTGTTCACCGATGGGTCACTGCAGTGTGAGGAGGTTTAAACAAGGACACGGACTGAGAGGGGAAATTATCTGTGGTGTTCCTCGCCCTCGGTTAATGAGGTGTTAAACTAAACCGCCACATTGTGGAGTTCTTGTCGCTGTGCATCTATCACTCCTGAGACCATTGCTTAGCCAGTGGGGGAAAAAAAGCACCGTATTACTGAGGAAATAAAATACAGAAAATGTTCTGGAATGCTTTCAGTCATCGGAAGGCATCCAACACAAAAGGAAAAACCCAATAAGCCTAGCTGCTTTTACCTTAAAAGATCCACTGGGTGCATTTTATGCTTTTAGATACAGAGGCAGGAAGCATAGCTAGTCATACTTTAAATAGAAGTCTCCTGAATCCACAACTGGGTTATTTATTTTCCCCGTTTTGGATGCTTGTTGTCTGTCTGCTAAATGCCAACTAATTATTAAAAGCACTTCTTGAAAGTCACACCTGGGAGAGGATGCAATTATCTGTACTTCCTTTCCCATTTGTTTGCTTGCTGGCTTCTTACCTTCTCCTCTCCCCACCTCCTCTGTTCTTGACTGCCTTTCCCAGGACTCGAAAGGGACAAGTTCGACAACAAGACGGTGTCCTTTGAGGAGCATATTAAATACGAGCACAACATGTGGAACTACTTGTACTTCATAGTGCTGGTGCGAGTGAAGAACAAGACAGACTACACGGGGCCGGAGAGTTACGTGGCGCAGATGATAAAGGTATGCGTCTTCTCAGGGCAGCACTCTCACTATTGCAACCCGCCTACCCCCGGGAAATATTTGAGAACAATAGGCTTGCCAAAGAAAAACAGTTTTGAGAAGGAGCTTTCGGAAAATATTTAGCAACGTTGTTGTGCCTTAGTTCTTTCTTAGCTGGTTATTTCCACTCTGCAATCTCAGCCAACAACACATTGTCTGTTTGAGGGTTTGTACTGTGTATCTAAGGATTGAACCAAGGGCAGAACCAAGCAGTAGAGGGGGACTTCAAGGTGATTTCAAGGCAAGAAGGGAGGGAAAGGAAATTGAGAAAAGAAAAACTTCTGAACTTGAGCCCAGAAGTCTGTAAGAAAAAAATAACACTAGAAATGGACTGTTTGTGGAAAATTTGCGGAGACACAGACAAGACGAGCCTTTGAGAACTTCTTTAATCCCTAAGCCCAGGCAGGCTTCCTGTCAAATCTGACCAGGTCTCGTCCCTCCTCCTCACCTGCTCTCCAACTCCCCTTTCCAGAACAAGAACCTGGACTGGTTCCCCCGGATGCGAGCCATGTCGCTGGTCAGCAATGAAGGGGAAGGGGAACAGAATGAGATCCGGAATCTGCAGGACAAACTCAACACCACGATGAAGCTGGTGTCCCATCTCACCTCCCAGCTGAATGAGCTGAAGGAACAGGTACTAAATGCTTTTAAAAATAGGAACACTTCAGGAATACCTGACTGTAGAAACCCGCTGTCCGTATCAAAATAGACACCGATTCAAGGAACAGGAGGCAGAACCAGCCCAAGGCCATGCAACTTCAGATACAAAGCTCCTTTTGGGGGGGGTTCAGGGACACTTGGGACACGTGCTTTTTGATATTTAACTTCCTCATCAGCTAGAATCCAACTCCCAGGGTGTTCTGGCACACTTAAAGCAGTCAGTCACACACTGGAGGAGCATATTAGTGAACAGGCAGCCTGGTGTTCTACCTCACTTGTGTCCTTGTTTGAACCCTAGATGACAGAGCAGCGGAAGCGCAGACAAAGGATGGGGTTTGTGGATGTCCAGAATACCATGAACCACTAAGACACAGAAGCAGCATTGGCTTCACCCACGGAGGGACTACACACACGTATCGGCTACCAAGGCTGCTTATTCCTGGGTTCCACACATGGATGGCATCGTCAGAGAACAACGGACCCTGCGGAAGGACTTCGCAGGCACCATTTTCCTTAGAGCGCTTGTAAGAAATTCAGGAACCAGGGACCGGCCGGGATTCCTCACGATACCTGGACCCACACGTTACTCTAATGCCCTTGTAGGAAGATAAATTATACAGAACTTCTATTCCTCATTGCAATAACTCTTATTTTGCAAATGTGGAGGGTTGTATCTTTATCTCCATGCGCTACATTCTGATGGCCTCCACCTCAGGTGTGGTGTAACTAGCTGTAGGGCTGCAATATTTAACTTATTCCAAGAGCGGATCTTTGCCAACCAGCCATCGTATTTGCTGTACCTGCTCCATGCTGATCCCTCTCCATTTAAAGAATTCTGTCTGTCACTGTGGTGCAGTAAAGAGGAGCTAAACTCAAGGAGATGAATTTGTTAATTTAACTCACCAGACAGGGATGAGTATCCAAGCTTATACTAGTGCTAACTAGTCTTTTGCCTTCTGTGGACCAAGAATATCTGGGCAGTGGTAGGAGGAGACTGCAGGTTTACAGGAGTTCACTGTGAAGGGGTGTCCTGTGTTTTAGTTTCATCTCTGGTATAACGTTTTACTTTTTTTTTTTGTTATTGTTGTTACTTAAGAACAGAAGTGTAAATTGCCTTAACTAAATTAAATACAAAATCATGTTATAATAAAAACTTAAACATGGTAAAGAAATCTCCCTTCCTGCGCATTCTGGTATGTAATGGGGCCGTTATAAATAGAAATACAGAACAATCCAAGAACCTGAAGCCAAACCAGGGCTGTATTTCCCGAGATGCTCCGCACCCCAATGCTCTCAGCTCCAGATGTTCAGTGTTAAAATGTAGTATGATGCTCCAGTCAGAAGCTGAAGAAGAATGCTACCATGAAGATCTACCTTGAACACCAGCCGTGTGTTCTGAAGCTCTGGATTGGAGCCTGCTGCAAAGTTTCAAATTCTTTCACTACTTGCCAGGAAAACACTGTTCAAATACATAAAAAGGAGCAGCTGTTGGTGCTGCCTGAAGCCAGGCGGAGTCCTGGCATAGCTGCCTTCTAGACGCTCATCCTTCCCCAGCCAAGCAGCGCTGTAGTCACCCCAGCTACTCCTGTGCCTCTGCCTCCCAAGAATAGACACTGATGCAAGCATTAAAGCTTTAAAAAGGAATAAAAATAGGCCATAGCAATTGGCTAATCACACTTGAAATTCATTTATGGCCCTACGTACCAACATGTCATTAAAAACCTCGCTTTGTCCTCAGCTAGGCAGTAACCCAGCCAGACAGAACAGTCTCGTCACACTGAGGGCTCAACCAGCATTTGATTGAAATCATAGTTAAACTCTTACACTGCTCCACTGTCACCATGGCAAACAGTCACCCTCAGTCCTTGCCTGTGTCTTCCCAAAAGGAAAATAAACGTGATGGTTAAGGTCACCCCTCCCTCAGTTTCACTGTTACACAGTAACACAACCATAGCTACGTTTTTCACATCAGCACTAGTGTTATCTTCACAAGCAAATTTAAAGCTAACAAACATGGCTGCACCTACTTGCTCTGTGCATCTCCTGGTTCCTCCATTTCTTGTAATACAAAGGATCAGGTCTAACACCACAAAGTTTCTTCCTCTACACTATGGTTTCAGCACAGCTGTGTTAAGCTATGTCCTAGATTTTTCAGGGAAAATAAAAAAAGAGGGGGCACTAAGGATGAGGAGTGTAAGGTGTAGGTCTGAACAAAAGTGCTGTTGCTAAGAGGAATAAATGGTTTTATTCATCATGGCAACATACAGTGCTTTAGGACTATATACAGTGGAGAATCTGGGAGTTAGCCTATCACTTGGAGTCCTCTTCAGGTTTCTTGGCATAAAACTTTTCTCGCAGTTTTTTCCATGTCCCTTTTTTCATGTCTTCCATCTGTTTCAGAATGTCTGCAAAAGGAGAAAAGAGAGAAAGCGAGATGGGGAAAGAGAAAAGGAAAGCAGAAAAGCAGAGGAATGAAAGTCTTGTTATAAAAGCTTTGCCTTACATATATTTTCCTTTTTTTTGAGTTTTCATCTTAATGAATTTCTATTTCAGGGCCTAAGGCAAGTTTGTTTTCCCTTCCAGTCAATTGTGCAGGGAGTCCCTTATCACTAACAACTAATATTCAGTTTCCACTGCAATCAAAGTTAGGAACTGGAGCAGAACAGAACTGCACTAGCTTCCTACATTGCACTTAATAAATGATCTGGCTGAGAGTATTTCTGCATCATGGTACCCTGTCTTCTCTCAAAGTCTAATACAAAAGGAGAAATGCTGAAGGGAATTTGAACGCGGTGAAACAGAAGCTGAGAATTTTTGAAATGATGTAGCAAACATGCATTTCTTTCACATAGCTCCTACTATCTGATCTCAAAGAGCCCTTGCAAACCTTCTGCTGTTCCTGCCCCATGCAAAATATAATTGATTTTTCACCCTGATAGATTACTGAAGATCTCCTCAATTATTCCTGAACTTACTCTTCATTAAACATCCCAATATATTTGCACAGCAAGTCACAGGTGTTTAGTAGGAATGATGCAGTGAACACCACAAAGACCAGAATGTGCTTTATGTCCTGCACTGACTTATTTGCAAATCAAACACAGTATTAGTACCTGTTGCTAGTATCATCTTGCAATCTTCTACTGTCACTCCAGTGAAACTTGTATCTTTCAGGCGTGGGTACTTCACAAATGAGCGAGTAGGTGAGAGGAGGGAAGAGAGAAAAAGATGTTACTTACAGTGCATTAAAAAAGGTAAAAACATCGTCATACGGTAGAGGCTGAGCTCATTTTCAGCCAAGCTCTAAGAATTCTGTTCATCCATACCAAGAACTAGCACCCACATGGTTCATACATGTCACAGAGGCCAAGATGTCTGCAGCTTTCCTGGAGTGACCAAAGGCACCAGGTAGTGCTGCATCCACCTGACAACTCGTTTGTCTGTTAGACATTCCCAGGAACCCTGCAGGGATGAGGCAGCCTACTGCAGTGGGTGGTGACTCACCCCCTAAAGGAGGGATGACGGCTAACGCCAAAGCTCACCTTGTTTTTGTAGTAGTTGGTGTGGATTCTGACTAAGCTCTCGTACATTCGGTCACAGGTCTCAGGGTCAGCAATCTGGAAAGGGATAAAAGTATCGCACAGGTCTTATTTTAAACCTCCGTAGCAAAACCCCACCTCATTTCAAGTGAGAAGGACAGTCAAGGAGCAGCTTAGGTGAACTCTCAGTGCAATGTAGGATGCTGGTGACCCCTATTATGCTGCACCAGAATGCAGATCATTTTCTTTCCCTTCCACTTCTCACCTGCTTGGCCTACAAGAATAACGAGGTATGTGATTTCCAGAATGAACCTTAAACTCTGCTCAAAAAGATCTGACAGATTAACTGTGAATACACAGTTAAAGAGAATACTGCTGGACAGTTTTCTTCGCACATTTATAGGCCAGTGCTGTGAAATCTTCAAGACTTCTTGCTCAAAGGCCAGTTTTGCCACCTGTTTTACTCTAAAGCATCAAATAGGATAACGTACTGGATGGAAGTTAGAAAATCCCAGTGCAGGCTAAAAATAGTCTATAATTGATTAGGGGAAAGCAGCATGAAAGACACCGAACAGCTTGTGAAGGGTAAATGGATTTCTATTTTGGTCGAGTAAGTTGGAAAGATTCTGCTAATACCTAAACCTCTGCTAGGTGCCTTGGACAGGTGCATCTGCCTTGCAGAGCCATCTATTTTGGCAGTGCGGATGGCATGTCATCTTGTTTTTCTATTTTACAACGGGAGCCAACTCGACCAGAACACTGCATTGCTGCTCGATGACATCAAACATAAATGATTAAAACAGATACAGGAATAAGAATAGTATCAACAGAAACATGTCAGGATAAAATGACACGGCTCATCTGTCCTTGGGACTTTGGCACACGGTCAGCACAAGGCGGGTAATGCCTCCTCTGCGCAAACTAGGAAAACTGAGGAAAGGCTCTCCTCATTCAGTAGGTAATGGCTGCTGCAGGAGAGGGAGACTGTCACACTGCAGGTGAGCTTCAGCTGAACCTATCTTGCAGTCACGTTTCAAATGACCCTGCTAATGTTTTAGTAATACAGCAGAAATAGCCATTAAATGGGTAGCAGAAACGGTATTCTTCCCCTCCACCCCCCCATAAAATCAGCAAATCTTATTCTGTGTGAATAAAACAGACATTAAACTGATAAAGTATCCTTTATGGTTCTATCTAGTTCTTTTCTCATACGTTCTTCCCGCTGTCTGCCAGTACACTTCCCTTTGCTGTATTAATCCTTTATACATACAAATTGACATCAGTGCTGCAGGCATCAATTTAGATTTTCAAGATGAGTGGCAGCTTTGGGATCTTGTAACCAATTGGTGCAGCACATTCAGCTGTCCTGAGCATATGAAAAAGCAATAAGCACTTTCTGAAATGTCTGCTGCAGACTATTCTGGTCACCAATGTAGAATTAGGTGCCTATAATGGCCCCTTGAAGTAGAAAACGCATAGCTTGAACAATGTTTTTATGCTAAGAAAGGAGACATTTACATTCCACAGCACCACCTCCAAGTCTATAAAGTCTACAGCCCAAGTCACAGATTAGCTTCTCTAACTTATTTAAGCACCCAAGCCTAACCTCCAACACAATTACAGCTGTAGCCAGAATGCAGTTTTGTAAGTGCTGCATCCTAACAGTGCCGGGCAACAGTGCATTTCACTACGTACTCCACACTGCACTGCGCTAGCATCATGGCAAGTAAAACACACTAATGAGTTAGATTCCAGCACAGCGCTGACAAATTCAGCGTGTTTTG